TACAAGAAGAAAAAAACTTTGTTTTAAAATAGAGACAGCCAGTTTTCCAATAGCGGATGAGTCTTTGAGATAACGATGTACAGACCACATGCACCTCTCTTCAAAAACCACAGTGATGCCAGAAGCCAATTCCTTAGGGTCAGGTGTTAGTGGAGACTCAAGTGCAAGTAAAGTGACTGAAGGTTTTTTTCATGTTTGTTTCCTTTGTCGGGGATCGTTGCTAATGCTTCAGTTTTGTGCTGGACATTTAGTAAAGATAAAACTGGGCTGCTCAAATTTATACAATGAATGCCATTTGGCATAAGTCCCAGTTACCCATTTATCTACTCAAATATGCATCACGTGATTACTGTCACTGTGTTAGGTGCTGGGGATACAGCAGTGAAGAAAGTCACCTGTCCTCATGGTGTTTCATTCTAGTGAGGAGAGACAGCAAACAGGAGGGACAGAGAGACAGAATAAGAATAAATGAAGCAGCATGTTGGTATGGGGAGTCAGTGGTGGATCAGGGTAAAAGTTGCTCTTTTATTTAGGGGGTTAGGAAAGGCCTCTCTGAGGAGGTGACATTTGAGCAGCAACCGGACATAAGAGATCCAGTTTTGATACCCATTGAGGTTTAGACAGATACAACTTTAAAGTGGGTGGTTAGTCACTCTGTATGTAAATATGAATTCAGCCATGTTTACAACTGGACAAAGATTTTCGCTAAAAATCTCAGGCAATTCATCCTGATACACTTCTAGGAATTATTTTAAGGACAAATTGAAATATAAGCACAGATTCATGTCAAAGGATATTCATGACAGCTTTATTTATTTTGGAGGGGCTGGGGTTTGAACTCAAGGCCTTATGCTTGCTAGGCAGGTGCTCTACCACTTGAGCCACTCTGCCAGCCCTTTCTTGTGTTGGGTATTTTCTAGATAGGGTCTCACAAACTGCGATCCTCCCAATCTCTGCCTCCTGAGTAGCTAGGATTACAGGCATGAGCCACTGGTGCCTAGCAACATTTTTATAAAAAAAAAAAAAAACTTTGAAGTTAATGAAAAATGCCCTTTGTTCCTTGACCTTCCCACCCCCACAGCTCCATTGGAAACCTCTCCTGTGATTCCAGCGCCCTCTGGAATGTTTTCATATTTACAACGATGTGCTTGTTTATTTATCTACTTCTTATTACACTCTGAGCCCCGGATGGTAGAGACTTCCTTGTTACGTCACACTAGCACCTGTCACAGCATATCAGAAGCACTCTCTGTGTGTTCAGTGAAAGACTGCTTCAATACCTCCCGCATATCTGTAAACGGACTGCTATGCAGCCACTGTGAATCAAGGTTCTGAAAAAATTAATGAAATATTAGGTATAAAAATAAATCTATATACACAGAAACACCTTGGTTATTAAGAGAGCAAAATAATTAAAGGCAGTTTCTGACTAAGATTATGATCATTTTTGCCTTCTTTTTTTTTTATTTTCTACTTTGGGCATAACATATTAGCTTCATAATCAGAAAAAAGGTCATTTAAAAAACTCAATGTCTGATCTACATTTAGTCATCACTCTGGACCTCTAAGCTTTTTAAAAAGGAAATGCAAATTAAAACCACGCTAAGATTCCACCTCACCCCTGTTAGAATAGCCATCATTAGCAACACCACCACCAACAGGTGTTGGCGGGGATGCGGGGAAAAAGGAACCCTCTTACACTGTTGGTGGGAATGTAAACTAGTACAACCACTCTGGAAAAAAATTTGGAGGCTACTTAAAAAGCTAGACATTGATCTACCATTTGATCCAGCAATACCACTCTTGGGGATATACCCAAAAGACTGTGACACAGGTTACTCCAGAGGCACCTGCACACCCACGTTTATTGCGGCACTATTCACAATAGCCAAGTTACGGAAACAGCCAAGATGCCCCACCACTGATGAATGGATTAAGAAAATGTGGTATCTATACACAATGGAATTTTATGCAGCCATGAAGAAGAACGAAATGCTATCATTCGCTGGTAAATGGATGGAATTGGAGAACATCATTCTGAGTGAGGTTAGCCTGGCCCAAAAGACCAAAAATCGTATGTTCTCCCTCATATGTGGACATTAGATCAAGGGCAAACACAACAAGGGGATTGGACTTTGAGCACATGACAAAAGCGAGAGCACACAAGGGAGGGTGAGGATAGGTAAGACACCTAAAAAACTAGCTAGCATTTGTTGCCCTTAACGCAGAGAAACTAAAGCAGATACCTTAAAAGCAACTGAGGCCAATAGGAAAAGGGGACCAGGAACTAGAGAAAAGGTTAGATCAAAAAGAATTAACCTAGAAGGTAACACCCACGCACAGGAAATCAATGTGAGTCAATGCCCTGTATAGCTATCCTTATCTCAACCAGCAAAAACCCTTGTTCCTTCCTATTATTGCTTATACTCTCCAACAAAATTAGAAATAAGGGCAAAATAGTTTCTGCTGGGTATTGAGGGGGTTGGGGGGAGAGGGAGGGGGCGGAGTGGGTGGTAAGGGAGGGGGTGGGGGCAGGGGGGAGAAATGACCCAAGCCTTGTATGCACATATGAATAATAAAGGAAAAAAAAAAAAGAAAGAAAGACTCAAGGGCTAAGTGTGGTGGTGGTGCATGCCCGTAATCCTAGCTATTTGGGAAGTAATCGGGAGGATTACGGTTCAAGGCCAGCCCTGGCAAAAAAGTTATTGAGACCTCTATCTCAATAAGTTATGTGTACCTGTGGTTCCAACTCCGTGGGAGGCATAGGTAGGAGGATCAGAGCTTGGGGTCAGCTCCAGGCAAAAACACAAGACGGAAAAGGTCTGGGGACGTGGCTCAAGCCCCTTCTTTAGCAAATGCTAGGCCGAGTTCAAACCCCAGTAACACCAAAAAAAGGAGGGGGGGAAGATTAGTAAATCTCAGTATGTGAGGCCCAGCACCAAAGTGTCAGGTGTCCTATATTATCACGAGCATGAACACCCTCAGCTCCAACTGCTCCATCTTCCTCCTCATCCCATCCCAGATTCTCAGCACTAGATGAATTTCTATGTAAGTAGTCCATTCTACCTCCAGGCTGGAAGCTCCCTTTTGAGATTTCTCCCTCTCTAAAGCCAGGTCCTTCTACATGTTCCAGATTTACTTTCTCCAAGGAGATCATCCTGATGGAGAACAAAAAACATTTTCCAAGCACCTCCTGGGACCAAGGCAGGGGGATGGGTGGGCACTTCACACACCTGTCCAATCCCTATTCATCTGTCTCGCCTGAGCATTCAATGAGCAGAGCTCTTACATAATCATGAAACTTGAAAAGAATCGGTTCCATTCCTCCTAAGACATTTTTTTCTTCAGGGGCATAACCCTGGAAATATTAATGAGTCCTTCATGGTTTTTGTGTTTGGTTTCAGGATGGTTTTTATCAGCTTGATTGGTTTGAAAACTGGTTTGTAAATCCCTTAAAACTTATTTAATTAACAGAAACTACAATGAAAATTTGCATTTCCAAAGCACCTTCCTATCAAAGAGCTCAAAGCTTGCCAACAAACCTTAGTTTCCTGTAGCATCAGGAACATTCTATAGGAGTAAGTAGGAGATAGAAGCATTTAAGACTTAAAATGACATTGTTTTATATGCATAATTTAATCAAACTTGTTGCCCGTGAACTGGTTTGCCCCAATCTCTCCATTTAATTGATAAGTTTCCTCAGAAAATTCTAGCTGTGAGCTACGCTACTAGTTCACCTTGTATCGTTTTGTTGAAATAAGTTATCACCTATTGCTCCAACAAGAAAAAGGAATAGCTCATTTTATTAAGAATTCCAAGTTGACAAACACGATGAGCATACACTGCTGTTTGCAGGAAGGGCTGTCCCCATGACCACTTCAATTTGGGATCAAGTAAAATGGCAAGAAATAAAACCCCTCTCGAGGGCCTGCACCTTCTTCATGGGTTCTTGTTAGCATTGACAGCCACCTCAGCACCACGGGAAGGAAGCCTTGGTGACCCTAGGGACAGGACTAGGAATGACAGCAAAGGTTCATCTCCCTAAGAGACATCGTCCTCTATCGGTCCTTACACCACTGACATTTATTTCTGGATGAGAAAGTTTTCTTTGCCTTGGCCCTTGCCAAGCTAAGTTTAGGACCAGCATCGTTGTCTGTCGACCAGATCTTAAGCACCCAGGCTTCCCTCTGTTAGATGCCACAACCAGCCACGCTTAACACCTATCACCTATGCATGCGTCGTTTTGTACTGCTTCTCATTTGTACAAAAGCAAAGGGAAAAGCTTTACGCCAAGCTCTCTTGGTAGTGAAACATTTTGACATTAATTTGTGCAAAAAATAACTAGAGAACTAAAGACTAATACAATTTTTAAGAAAAAGAGGGACGGTGATGATGACCTCAGGTTGTAACACAAAAGCCTTTGTGGGATTATTTTTATACAGACCATGGCAAGTATGGGTAATGAATTACACACCCTGCAGTTTTCTCATCAAGATGCTGCTTATGAAAGGAAATAAAACCCCACCATTACTAACAAGAGACACACGGGTGGTGGCAGATACAGGATGTTCTTATGGGAGAAAACATCACGTACTTGAATGTGCTGCCTTGAGGACTGTGGATGAATAAAAGTGGCTTTACACAATTATTTGAATAATGATAATTTAATGGTTTTTACACTAAAAAGGTATTTATACCTAACTAGCATTTTTGCTTAGATAGGAATGTAAAACTGAACAATTTAAAAAATGGAATCCACAGGCACGGGTTTTAATGGGTTATTTTATGTCTTTTAAGGACATTTCTCTATGAGAAATTAAGTTGTGTAAAATAGAGAAAAAGGGTTTATATTCCAAGAAATCATTCCTCTTGGACCATGACAACTTTGAACAAAAATATTTTCACAAAATTTCATTTTAATCATCTTCTTTTACAAAGCACAATACTTAAGACTTTTCTAAATACAACTTTAGAAAATGAAGCAAAAAAATAATTTCCATAGATGCCTGGTTGAGTCCATGCTGAATGCCAAAGAATTTTTTTTCAAAAGTAATATTCCCAAGCTTTTCAATGTTCTTGGTGGTTCCATTTTGTCAAGAGTAAAGATGGTGGCTGTTTGGGCAGTGGCTCATCCAGTTCCATGATGCAGAATCCTCTTGCTGGTTATCCCAATGGGCAGTAATGAAGCTGGATATGCCAACTTCTTTTTCTACCATTGCTTCTCCCTCTCTTTATATGAAGAAAGCCAATGGCCTCTATGAGGGGAAGACATTGACTCTCTATGTTCCATGTTGCCAGTGCCCCATGAAGGTGCCCCAATCTCTCCATTTAATTGGTAACAATTCTACTGTGGACACACATCATATAAAGCTCTATCAGTAGGGATTTTCTTGATGAGTAAATGAAAAATTCAAAGAATCTCATCCTCATTGTTATATACTAGGTGGGAAATCTCTGAAGTCTTCAAGTTTAATGCAGAAATGCTTAGAACAGTCAGGGGGTACAGAAATAGTTTATGCTGCCTTAGAAACGTGGTGCTCTGGCCCCAAGCACACTGAGACCACGGGTAGCAGCCATGGGAAATGAAAGGTACATGGTTCCTTTACACACTTCCCTCCCGTAACTGTGTCCCCATCCAGGAAGACTAGGGCTTTGGGGTTCTATAAATATGGAGAGGGAAGTAACAGCCCCAAGCAGAAAAGATGAATCTGCAGGCCAAGAGCAAGGCAGGGGAAGGGAGAGAGGAAGACAAAGGAAGAGACATTTGTTTGTTATATTTTCAATGATGAATAACATGGGGTGATTTTTTTTTTTTGCATCATTCCTTCAGTGTTATCAATTCTCATTCTTTGTGGTTGTGCAAATCTATTTATGTTTCGGAGTTGCACTATAAAATGCAGGAAATAGACAAAGCGGCTGTTTAGAAACACATCAAACATCTTTGGGGGCCACCTTTTACCCCTGAACAATCTTGCAGTACAGTATGCCCCTTATTTTCAGCTAAGGATGAGAAAACAGTTACATAGTCTAAGGCTGAACTGTTCCATATGCTACAAAGATAAAGCAGACAAGCAAACATCAGTTTCCTTGAGAAGAAAAAAGCAATTCCATAAATGCAAGAAAGATCCAATGAGTGCACTTCAACAAGACCTTCCCCCCATTCTCCTGGACCTGAGGAAGGGATTACAAGTGAGCAAGGCAAATGACATTATGTGAATACAGTTTAAACAGTAACACACACCGATAACCCAAGTGCAGGAAATAATACAACTTCCCCCCCTTGTTTTCATTTGCATTTTACTTTTATTTATTTTTGCTTTAATAATGCATATTCTGTTCACGCAAAAGGTGCAAAGGACAGGAAGCAGGGGTTTAACTTGGCTGATGAAAAATCAAGCAGGGATGACATTTCTAGTTTCATGAACAACCTAAAAGTGGGAGAAACTGAAAAGTCACAGCTGGTACCACAGACCATGTCCTACTTCTCAGCTGTCTCCACTTAGGACCTTTGGCTAGGGTGAGAGAAGCTGTGAAGACAGTGGCCTCTAGTGGACTTGGGTAAGTGGCTGATTTTTATTTATTTATTTTTTGAATCATGGTAGCTGCATCACAAAAGCTCCAATCAAGAGGGTGGTAAAAAGAAGGCACAGATCATTGCAAATACCAGATTTTCTTTTTGTAAATATACCATCATATATAAGCTAAAATTTCTCTTACGGCGGTGGGGTCTGCTGGCAGGGGAAGGGACAGGTTGGACCTAAAATTGCATATGTAATAGAATTCTAAAGAGGAACACAAAGTGAGGCAGCTTTCTGCCTGAAGCAAAAGAACAAGATGCTCGCTTCTGACTAGGTGTAGTACAAACACTTGGGGCATCTGTGACAAAACACAATTAAAAAATCATAAAATTATAAAGCTTGTAAACGAATAATCTGAAATTACATTTTATTAATGGAAAATATCATCAAAATAGTACCACTATGGACTAAACTGCCTGAGTTTTTGTTTCGCATGAGATCTCAAGGTAGAAAAGCTTTTAGCACAATTTGCTCTAAGTCACAACCAGTGCCAGACCCAGGACTAACACCATGGGGAAGATTCTCCTCTTGGATGGAATTTGTGTTGTGCTATCAAGACTTTTGTGCTAATCTTTCAAACAGGGACATGTTGAGGCAAACCTTTATTCTTTTGGCACAAGATTATTTTGGCTGGGGCAGAAAATTTGAGTCTTGGACTCTGGATGAATAATGCAACATCTCAATTATCAAGTATTCATTTTGATTGAAGAGCTTTCTTTATGTCATTCACTTCCATCTATAAAGGGAAAAAATGGACAAAATCAGAATGTATTAACTGGTTTTATAGAAGCTGAAAGATAATCAACCTGCTCAGTAGAAAGAAAATACACAACCTGGCAATTTTAGAGGTGAAACAGATGGAATGACATCTGAATGAAAAATCAGTAACAATGCCAGGGATTACATGAACCTAAAGAACAGACACATAGGCACAACATACTAGGAAATGGCCGACATTTTAATTCTCAGGCCTACGAGGGTCCAAAGTTTGCCAAGAGCAGAACGATTCCAATTTCCTAGCTGTCCTGACATACTGGACCATCTTGACGGTATGGGAAGGCAGCTGCAGTTGGCCCAGCAGGGTGTGTGTCAGTACCTCAGAAGTGATAGAGAGCAGTATCTATCCCAATCACTACCATGGAGGCACCAACTAGATGAAAATTGAAAGCCAACCTCTGGTCATTTGGTCATGGGAGAGTTGGATGAAAGGATGGGTGGGTGGCTGACGAATGGATTAAGAAAATGTGGTATCTATACACAATGGAATTTTATGCAGCCATGAAGAAGAACGAAATGTTATCATTTGCTGGTAAATGGATGGAACTGGAGAACATCATTCTGAGTGAGGTTAGCCTGGCCCAAAAGACCAAAAATCGTATGTTCTCCCTCATAGGTGGACATTAGATCAAGGGCAAACACAACAAGGGGATTGGACTTTGAGCACATGATAAAAGCGAGAGCACACAAGGGAGGGGTGAGGATAGATAAGACACCTAAAAAACTAGCTAGCATTTGTTGCCCTTAATGCAGAGAAACTAAAGCAGATACCTTAAAGCAACTGAGGCCAATAGGAAAAGGGGACCAGGAACTAGAGAAAAGGTTAGATCAAAAAGAATTAACCTAGAAGGTAACACACATGCACAGGAAATCAATGTGAGTCAATGCCCTGTATAGCTATCCTTATCTCAACCAGCAAAAACCCTTGTTCCTTTCTATTATTGCTTATACTCTCTCTACAACAAAATTAGAGATAAGGGCAAAATAGTTTCTGCTGGGTATTGAGGGGGTGGGGGGAGAGGGAGGGGGCGGAGTGGGTGGTAAGGGAGGGGGTGGGGGCAGGGGGAGAAATGACCCAAGCCTTGTATGCACATATGAGTAAGAAAAGAAAAAGGAAAAAGGATGGGTGGGTGGGAGGAGGAAGGGTGCTCAGATGCTCTGGTGGGACTGACATAGCCATTAGGGAGAAGTAAAGAGATGAAGAGCAAACACCAGGTGTGGTCTGTAGAGTCCCAAAGATCATGTGACAGAAACTACCTAGGCAACAGGGCCTCCCCAACACCATGCCCTCTGGCAGTTACTATAATGAGGCCTCCTGGAAACTGAAGAGACCTTTTTGTAGAGGAGATGCTTAAACTAAATTCCAAATGAGAAGCCAACTGGGGACATGTTTACTAATCTTCCCCTGCACCCAGGCTTTCTGATTCTAAGAAAGGATGGGTAGTAAGCCTATAGAAAATTGTCACAGAAATCCTATTTAAATATGAAGAGAAGCAACAATCATTTATTTTCAAAATAAAGCCCTGTCTGTGCCTTCAACCTAAACTGAGCCAGCCCAGGCCTAATGGGCAGCAGGACCCTGAGGGACCTACCTGCAACCGAAGCCGGATTTTCTTCTCTTCATCCAACTCTGACAGTAACTGCTTAATCTCTCGTCTGAAAAGCAAAGGGCAATAGAATCAAACAAAAACCCAGAGTTTCCCATGAAGAGGTAAGAAACCTATTATCACTACAAAATCCATCTGACCCTTTTACAAAGAAAATGTGGACCAAACATACTTTCCTGACAATGTTATTACTTAAGATTTATATCAAACAGAAGGGCTTGCCATTATTTGGGAGCCACCAAAATATGTAGCCATCAAATTGTAGGTCTTGAAATGACCCTTGAGTTCCTTAGTCCAAATTTATCCCAAAAAGAGAAGATAAGGAAATTGAGTCCCAAAGTGGTGGCTTGACTTGCCCAATGACTGGACTCCAGGCACCAAGGCTCATATTCTGTCATCTTCCTTCTACTCTTGTGTAACAGGTTCACTGGTCTTCAAATGTACTTAGATTATAATTTTCATTGCAGACACTTTTACCACTCCATATATACTTCATTTTCTACAGAATGTAAATTAATAAAAAGGTCACTGGTATGTTTTCACCAATTCTCACAAAATCCTGCAAATTTTAAGATCTGAACCTAGTGATGAAGTCTGAGAGGAAACAGCCATGAGTTGGGACCCACAGCCTGCTACCCTTTCCAACTTAAATAACAAAGTGGGGCAAAGCTAATCATCCTGACAAGTCAGGGCACTGTACTTAGGATGCTGCAACAACTTAAACACTGGTCTGAGAGCTGCATTCCATTTTAAGGTATCAAATGCTGCATTGCACATGTACATTTGTACGAACTGGGCTGACTGGAAAATGAAATAGCACAGGAAATATGGTAGCAGTGATAGTGCATGTATTTGCTCACTTCAGATGAGCACCATGATGGCCACTTGTACTTGGGACAGTGCTCCAGCACTGCTGTCAATATGTTGGGTTATCTGAGAATAACCAGCTGTGATTCATTCCCGTATTTACTGAAGCACACATTATGCACCTGTGTCTCAATGCACACTACATAGAGTTTAGGAAAGAAGTGGAAGGTGAGATCCTAAACCAATGGCCCAGGCCCAGGAAGACTATAGCAAGAAAAGCCTTGAGGGGTCTGGGTACAGGAAGTCGGTTGGGGAAGGTGGTCCAAAGAAAGTCTCTAAGCCTTGAACTACTAAAAATGGGCATAAGTCTATAAGGAGGAAGGAGGAAGGAAGATGTGGGGTTAGTAGGGAAAGTCAGGGCATAGACGGAGGGGGACTTGCCTCTGAGCACAAGCAAGTTTGGAGATGAGGGTAAGTGTTGGCATAGACTTGACTTGAATACTAAAAGGGAAAGTGACGCCAAGAGCTAAGAGAGCAAACTAATGGGGACTCACTTACCCTAGGCATGAGGGCCAGAGGCAGGCCATGGTAGAAGGGACATTGTAAGGTGTTGATTCAAGAAGGTATTGGCTGGGGAAGGACCATTCTGGCCTGCTATTCACAGGGTTCAAAGCCCAGGTGGCTCTGCACTCATAGGGGAGCTCAGGCCATGTCAGACATGTTGGTAGTTTCCAGGTACCTCTCGGAGGGTACAAACGGCCAAAGCCCTGGATCCAGGCAAGTCTGACTCAATGGCCCTGTTCAGAAGGCTGAGAATCAGTGCTCTGGGATGTCCTGAGGCCATGAAGTCACACTCTAGGCAAGGGATCCATGCTGGGTGGACAAGGATGAGGCTTTTGCGTCCCCAAACCTGTAGCCTTCAGAGTCAGATAGGAGCTGGGGACTTTGAGGAGTTAGAGGCAGCCTGGCTGGCCCCAGGAAGACCCTTTCAAGGAGTACCATTCTGCCAATTTTGCATATTTGTCTCTCCTAGTCAGGAAGTTAGTACAAGAAGCCTCAACTTTGCCTGACACTACCCAGCCTGAATGAAACATAAATTACTTAGATCTACTTTACTCAAAGTTAGTTCCACGGAACCCTTATCTCAGGATGCTCTGGACAAAAAGGGTTCTATGATTAAGTATATTTGGGAAACTGCATATACTATCTTCTGCATCCTCCCAAAATATGGTGAAGGCTTTAAAGGGTCCTTCAGAGAAGAAATGAACTTTGCTTAACAAAATTATCCACCAAAGTCTCTAACTGTAATCACTTCAGGGCCCTCTAGCCCTGTAGGGGGAGGCAGGTAACAAGGCTTCTGCCAGTAACCCCAGACTCCCTCCACAAGGTGTGACCACAGGTCTTCAGCCACATCTCCCACCCCCACCCTACTTGGCTCCAAGGTGGCCAGATGCCTGGGGAGGCGCAGTCCCACCAGGCTGTTCTGTGTCCTCTGAGTGTGTGAGCTTGTCCCCTCTGCCAGAGTGCTCTGGGCAATTCCAGACCATCTTTCAAAATCCCCCTTGAGAAATGTGACCTTGAGATGCCTCCTCTTAAGAAAGGTTCCCTCCAGAAGGAGCTAGCTGATCTCTAAACTCTCCAAGCCTGAGTTTCTTTAGATAAGTGCTGTCTACATCTAATCTTCTACCAGCTTTCTCATTGCAAAGAGCATCCCGAGTGATAGCTATATATGATACTTATTTTTGCTCACAGGTATTTCTCCCCATTCAAGTGCTCCCTGAGGATGACAGCATGTGTGCAGGCATGCATACAGAAAGCCCCCTGAGTCTCATGGTAAGAACATCTTGCTGAGGGTAAAGTCTTGAGTTTAAAGATTCAATACATCTTCATACATTATGGTCCTTCAATGCAAGAGAACTGTTTCATCTGGCAGCTAAGTGAAGAAGTCACAGTTTTCCTGATGCTAGAGGAAAAACTGACAATTGGGCTTATTTAAGAAGTGGTAGGCATGGCTCAAGTAGTAGAATGCTTACTTAGCAAGCAGGATGCCACGAGTTCAATCCCCAGTACTACCAAAAAAACAAAAAACAAAAAACAAAACAAAACAAAACAAAACAAAAGTGGGATATGAATATAGCACACAGGAGGCAAGAGGATTGTGAGTTCAAGGCCTACCTGGGCTATAAAGTGAGACACTGTCTCAGAAAAAAGGGGCATATGTACTACTATAGTTTGGATCTTGAATGTTCCCCCAAAGGAACAAAGGGTTGGCCTCCAGCCTGTGGTGCTACTGGGAGATGGTGGATATTTAGAAGGTGGGGCCTAGTAGAAGGAAGTTAGGTCATTGGGACTGTTCCCTTTAAAGAAATATTGGGACCCCAGACCGTCCTGTCTCACCTTGCTTCCTGGCTGGGACACAAGGTAAGCAGTTTCCTCTACCACATGCTCCCTGCTGCCTTGCCACAGGCCCAAAGGCAATGGAGATAAATGACCAGAGACGAAAACCATGACCCAAAATAAACCTTTCCTTCTTATAAGATGATTTTCTCAAGTATTTTCCCACAGTGACAAAAAGCTGACTGATGCAGAAATACTGTACTTTATAGGGGATATCAAGAATTTTCTCTTTAGCAGCTTTCTGAAAGTGTTGGTCTTTGCAACTGACTCATTCCCGTACACCCCACAACCAGCCTGTGCTCTTCCTGCACACAGTAAGCAGAGGCTAAAAATAGAGCATGATTCAAGTATAAATTAAGCTTCATGAGGTCCACATCTGCTCCCACTACCAGTGGAGAAGCCTGGTCCACTCTCTGGGGCAGAGTAGAACCCAGGCTTGCTAACCAGGCCCTGCCCTAGTTCAGAGCCACCTGAAGGCAATTGCATGTGGTCCCTGGGCACTCACTTCTGCTGGTCCTTCATGGTCTCGATGATGCTCCTCAGCTCACGGACCTGTGTCCTTAGCTCCTCCACAGCTGCTTGGTTGCTGGTCATAGGCTCCATCTTTGGTTTGCCTTCCATGCTGAACAGAGATGGGGAATTGGCTCTGTGTGCAGCTGTTCCCAAAGAGGATGACAAGGGGGAGGACGCCACTGAAGACAGAGAGGCTGGACCACTGCCTGCTGCCATAGTCCCCGGCTTGGGTGGCAGGGACGCCTTGTTGTCAGACACCTGTGATGAGGGAAAGTGGAGAGGCTTCAGAGCCAGGGATCCAGGCATGGCACCTCCCAGTCCTGGTGAGTCATATCCTTCTTCAATATCCCATCCCTACCTCTCTCCACAGACTCCACACTCACTTATTCCTTCATCCAGAAGCCAACAAGGGCCAACTTGGTGCAAGCATACTTGCACCCAGTGCTGCCCGTAGGTATTTTTAATTTGATCTTCTTTCTGGACAATCCCTGGCTAGTTTCATATACACATAGAGATGCCCAACTGCTTGCTGGGCACCACAAACTCTGAAGTGAGCAAGACAGTCTCCTGGCCCCTAGATGTTCAGAACCCAGTGGGGTGCAGACTGACAGACAAACCAACACATTGCAGCAGACGAAGAAGACTGCACGAGAGAGAGGAAATACAGAGAGCCCTGGAAACACATCAAAGAGGCAAAAGTACTGGAAGGAAAGCAGTGGGAAAGAGCTGCTAACAATCCTATCTTGAAGGGGGTCAGAGGAAAGGAGAGATTTTTGGGGAAAGCAGTTGTAGGAGGAAGGAAGGCCCCAAAGCCTAGAGACCAGAAAGCAAAACACATTAGTGGGAAATGTGGCTAGAAGATCAGAGTGGACAGGAGAGAGCTAGTGAAGGAGAGTAAGGCTGGGAAGGGAGACGGGGCAGGTTGAAATGATGGCATGCCCTGGAAATAGAACTGCTGGGAGACTCTCATACAATGTTGGCTAGAAACAGTGAGGGTGTGACCTTAGCAGTGGCCAAGAAGATAGGTGATTTTGAGAGATGTGGTTAAGAGTAAGCACATCTAACAAACAGCACCAGGCATCGTCCCTGGTGCTGTGGTGGGGAGTGGGTGAGACTGATGGAGTCTGCCCTCACAGAACAGATAGCCCATGACCAAGAAGATAAGGTCTTAGACAGGCTGTAGAGGGTCAAACAGGGAATAAAGATCAAGGGCCATGGTTGGAGAGGTAAGAACCAGGCATGGAGGTTGCACCTTTCATGGGAAGAAGGACAGGTTGAAGGCCCAGATAATTTTAGCTTTAGACATACTGAATTTTAGGAGCTTGAGGGATGGCTGAGGGGCAGAGCCAGTGACTAAAGAGTGAGTTGGGCCAAAGAAAGTAGAAGCCATGGGGGCAGATAAGATAGCATGAGAGGAGAAGAGGCCCAATGTGGGGAAGTCCCACATTGAAGAGGCCAGGAGAGAAGGGAGAGAGAGCCCTTGACAATAGGGAAAGAATAGCTAGAGAGGAGATGAAGCAAGACCAGTAGAGGAGCCTGGCTTATAGAAGCTCCCTAAAGAAGTTTCTAGGAGGAAAAAAAATTTTGGGTAAGTGGATTAAGGATACTGAGAGGAAAAGAGGAGAGCTCATTTGGTGGTGGAAGAGAGACAGAAACCCAATGGCAGCAGATCAGGTTCTGAAGGGGAAGTGAGGGTACAGCTGCCAAGCAGAGGATGTGCCTTTTTCCCCAAACCTTGGCAGAAGATGGGGAGAGATTATGAACTCATGCAGAAGCCTTAGGAGAAGAAAGCATCAAGGGCTTTGTTTGCTTATAGAGATGGGTGAGACCCTGAGCTGCCGGAAATGCTAGTGGGAAAAAACAGCGGAAAGCCAGGCTGAAGATGGAGGAGAGAGGCAGGAGAGGCTTGATGGAGAAGTGTCCTGAGGAAGCCAGGAGGACACTTGGGTGTGGGACAGTCTGGGGTGGGAGGGAAGAGGGGTACCTGGAAAGCCCAGAGAGGAGACACCTGGAAAGGAAAGTGAGTTGATAGGCAGTTGGGGAGAAGGCATAGTAGTGGGATGGGACTTTGAGAGGTGAGGGCGTGACAGGACTGAAGCTGAGGCTGATAGTGAAGCTTGGCACTACAGCCATGGGACTCCCTCCAGCAGCAGGCGTGCTCAGCCGGCCATCCCAGGGCAGGCGCCAAGAAGGGGGTTGGCTGGCACAGCAGTGAGGAGGTAGAGTCTGGATTCAGGCTGTGCTAGAGGCAGAGACTGGGCAGAGGGAGCCAAAAGCAGATGGGCCATCATTCCCAGCCTCTCTGCTCGCCTTTTCTCTGCCAAGTTACCATTGAGGAAAAGCGCTCTCTGCTGCCAGGGAGAGCGCTCCGCCAGCCAGGCTTTGTTGTTAGTAGACGTTACAGTATGAGTGAGGAGGAATTGACATTTATGGAGCTTTGATTGCATACTGGACGTCAGCTCTACAATTTAAACAGGGATCAACTGGCACACGCATTTTACCAAGCAGGAAACTGAGGCTTTGAGAGCTGGTTGAATGACTCTCCACTTCTCCTTGCTAGTCACATGCAGAACTGGGAATTCAACCCCTCCCCATCAGCCAATTCTCAGACAGCACTGTGACTGTGGCTGCCCGAGTCTGAAGATTTGTGCTCTCCTGTTATTTTCTTTGCTGATTATGTACTCCTGGGCTCATGCCTTCTTCCATTTCCTGTCCTTCATCCTTTCAGGCCACTCATGACCTACTGATGCCCTTAACACTGATGGACTTCCAGATGCTTCTCGAATCAATGCTTCGTTTTGGAATGCCTGTATGGCTAGCTCTCCCAGCCCATTTCAGTTAATAAGTACTTTTAAAATCCCTCATAAAGTAAAGGTCACCACCTCTCTGATCAAATTAGCTCAAGTAGAATTTCTAGAGGCAATGAAAAACACAACCTGACAACTCCAGGGAAGTGAATAGGCTAATGGAATTAGAACTGTGCAAATTAAAAACACGAAAGCCACAGTCCACCAGCAGATGTCACTGTAGAGACACCCCAGGGATGTCAGAGAAAGGGACAGAAAAAATAAAATTCTAAATCTAATTTCAGTAATGCTTTGGTTTTGTGGATAATTAAATTGATCTGTTTTATAGGATCATGTTTTGCTTATTGTATCAGATTTTTGAGAAAACCTATACATGCAAATTCTTAAATCTATTAGAAGGAAAATCCCACCTGATCTCTGACTTCTTTATAGTAATTTCTGCTTCAAATTGACTAGTTTTCTGCTTTTAGACAGAAAAAATTGCTAACGCTCCAAGAAAATAATCCTAACCGACTGGGCTTTCTTAGTTTGAGAAAACAGGATTTTATAGGGAGAACAGAATTTTTACAGGGTGCTTACGCTTCAAAAGTTTTATGTAGCTGGGTATAGGGGTACACACCTATAATTCCAGCTATTTGGGAGGCAGAGGTAGGAGGATAATGGTACAAGGCTGGCGTAGGCAAAAGTGTAAGACCCTATGTGAAAAATAACTAAAGCGGAAAACATTGGGGGCATGGCTCAAGTGGTAGAGCACTTGCCTAGCAAGCATAAGGCCCTAAGGTTCAAACCACAGCAACAGCAAAAGAAACCTTGCATGAAGTAGCTAAGCAATGTTTTTGTTTTTTAGTGCATGCTAGGTAAGTACTTTAGCACTCAGCTACATCCTTAGCCTCTTCCTTCCTTTTTTGAGATGGGGATCTCATTATATTAGGTAGGCTGGTCTTGAACTCCTAGGCTCAAGAGATCCTTCTACTTCAGCCTACATGGTAGCTGGACTACAGGTGTGCCTAACAACAATGTTTTCTTTGTTTCTCACAAACAGCAATGTAAACTAGCATAGCACCAGTTGCTTATGCCTATAATCCTAGCTACTTATGAGTCGGAGATCTGGAGAGGATTGTGGTTTGAGGCCAGGCTGGGCAAATAGTTTGAGGGACTGCATCTCCAAAATAATCAGAGCAAAATGGACTGAAGGGGTGGTTCAAGTGGCAGAGCACCTGCTTTGCAAGCACCAAGCCCCGAGTTCAAACCCCAAGTCCACATAAAATAGATATAGCATTCCCTGAGCATGCAATGAAATTAAAATACTTTAGATTATAAATTTATCCTAGAATATGAATCCAAATAAATTTTTCCTTGGGAGATCGTATTGGTTATTTATATTAATGATCTTCCAACAATGATTTTTTTGGTGGTGGGGTTTATGCCAGGGCTGGCCTAGATAATAATCTTGATCTCTACCTCCTAAGTAGCTAGAGTTATAGGCAAGAGCCACTGTGCCCAGCTACCAATAATTTTGGCCAGTTTTTTTTTTTTTGGCAGTATTAGGGCTTGAATTCAGGGTATTGCACTTGCGAGGGAGGTGCTCTACCACTTGAGCCATGCCTCCAGTCCAATTTTTGCCAGCTTTGAACATAAAAGATAAGATCTGTGAACAGAGGGCACAGCATTTAACACGTTTAATGTAGACTCTCTAGATACTCCAAAGCCTTTTAAATTGTTTTGGTTGCGCTGGTGGTGTGCAAGGGCATGTGGGCGTGTGTATGATGGCATGAAGAGGAGATGCAACCACAAGAGCCATGGGAAATAAACAACTGAACTTGCAGCCCAGGGGCCCTGCCTGCCTCTGGAGACTGCAACATGCCTCCGGGATTTTGATGACTAAAGTAATCACTGTCACAGAAGAATGACAAACACCTGTGTTGTCTGTTTATCCTTGTCTGGTTTATAACCTCTCATTAATGCAGCACATACATGGACGGGCAGGGATACCTCGCCCTGGCTGGTCACTCACTTGGGATATGGTAACAGTCTTTGAAGTCTTCTTTGACACGTCTACTCCTCTGTGCACAAGCGAAATGTGTTCCTCTTTATCTTCTTCGGGACTTGGGGAGTCAAAGATATCGGGGCTTGAAAGGGAGGACTGGATAAAGCCAAAAGAAAATGCTTTCGTCAGAATCATACTTCAGCTGACACAGCTTTCATTAATATGGTGCTGCTTGCTTTTCACTGCACCTGATGCTTCTATTTTGTCTCTCTCTTCACTATAGCCCTGTGAGGCAAAAAGTGAGATCCATGTACTGGAGATAGACATAAAGCTGGTTAGTGACAGGACTGGGACCAAGATGTAAAGTTTCCTAAACCAGGGGTCTTTCCCCCAATGGGAATCCATAACTTCATCCACACAAGCATATCCATCACCCCTCCTTTCTCTAAACATTCACTACTGAGCTTAGTACTGCACACTTAATGATGATGTGCCCTACATGGTCTCTGCCCTTGTGGGGTTACCAGTGTGGTGAGGAAGAACCCATAGTCAACAGGAGGCTGCCTGTTATCCTCATCCTCATCCTTTTCCTTGACCCTTCTCCAGGATCATGAAATCTATGCACCCTGAATGAAGTGTCTTAAAGGATGCATCTGAGAGGAGACCATTCCTAGAGACAAGGGACCATCAGGCCTGAGGTCCAGTGACAAGCATATCCGCTGCCTAAGAGCACAACCTGCCTTCTAGCACAACAAATTCATCTCTCTTTTGGTACCTGCTGTTAAATCTCTGTCCTCATTTCTGTGCACAGTCAACATCCATTTCAGAGTCTGTATTTGCTAAAGTATATTTATGGAGTGGCAGCATCTTTGGGTAAAATATGGGACAACACCCCTGCCCTTTCTGTCTCATTGTGAACATCATTCTGAACATCAAAAAACTGCATGAATGGGGACCAATTCACCAGAATTCACTTGTTCAGAAATGATCCCAGAGCTCGAACTTCCCTATTTGAGAACAAAAATGAAAATAAAAGTTCCCTTAGCAAGGAATCTTTTTTCTAATGAATCTTCAAGAAATACGATGGAGTGAGCTCATATTCAACCTCATCTCTCTACCCCTGTGGTAAGAACACAATCCTTTTTAAAAATTACCATTTGATATCATTATGGAAAAATTATAACCACATTGTTTTCATCTCTTTATTTTATTTACTAAGGCTGAACACTAGTATGTTTTAGGGAATTTTAAGAAAAATTCTGCTTGAAATGTCTCATTTGTTAATCTTCATTTAATCTGAAAATCCCATTACCTAAAATAACACCCCCCACCAAGCTTTCTTATTAATCTAGGCTTAACTGCTTAACCACTATGCAATGCCCAGATCCTTTCATTTTTAGATTTTTTAATTCAAAAATCCTATTTCTTCCTATACAACCTATGTTGCATGAGCTGTCAATCAAAGTTTGCTCTTTGACTTCTATACACCTAAATAGCTTCAATTAGAATGGATGGCCCCAGGCTGGGGAATCATAACTGGTGTTTCCTCAATCATTCCCCCAGTAGCCTTTTAGGAGTATGTTCTTATCCACTAATCCCATTTGCCATGAAAACCCCACAGGTGCTAAATGCAAGAGGAGTAAACAGGAATTCAATGTACACATCCAAATGGGATGGATAGGAATGAAGGGAAGACAGTATGGCTATCATACTTCATGAAAGCACCAACATATCCTGTTGTTGTAAAGCTGCAGATAAAATCACTTCCTGTTACTGTACCATAAACTTCCTGCAGGCAGTGATCATGTACTTCGCATTCCCAGCTATATCCCTGGTACCTGGCACAGCGTCCAGTCCACAGGAGATAGATGTCTAAATATTTGTTAAATGAGTGAATAAACAACTGTGTAGTGTAAAAGCAGGGTAAAAATGAGATGCCTTTACTTGGTCCCCAAAATACACACAAACTCCTAGACAAGGGATGCATGGACCAAGGGATATGGTAATTTGAACCTCTGAATTTAATTCTGGAAGCCATAAGGCTCTCTAGATCTTAACAAGCAGAGGAGAACTTGGAGGGAAAACAAAATGATGAAGGATTTATAGAGAAGATGAGAGAGGAAGGACTGAGAAATCAAAATGCAGAGATGCTCAGAAGCAATCAGATAGGTTGTGTACATATGTGCATGCTGGGGTGGGGTATGGGGACGGAGAGGGGAAAGAAGGCAGGGCTGCTAAAGAACTCTATAGAAAAGTGAAAAAAGCAGCCACTTTTTCTAAGACTTTCTCTCAAAGGAGTCAACACAAACTTAGGTCTGTTTCAGACAAAGAAAATAGAGGGCAATTCAAGCCACATTTCCAGACTCCGTAGATATGAGAGAAGAGGCTCAAAGGAAGTGGCATTCTTTTTTTCTAAAAGACAACAGTTCAGGTGGGATTAGTAATGAGGTGAAAAGAGAAAGTGTCCTGGGAAACCTGCAAAAGGTTATTTCCTTAGTGCATCTGAGTGGAGGTTATAGGTGTCAGAACTGCAAGGAAAAAGCAATGTGGTAAGTAGGCAAGTAGGTAGGTAGGTAGGTAGGTAAGTAGGTAGGTAGATAGGTAGAGCAAATGAACGACAAACACGCACACACAGCTTCAGGAAGGTAAATTTAACCTTTGTGGAGGGTAAGTTTGCAACTTATGGCAAAAAATAAAACACATTTCCTTTTGACCCACATTCAGAAAGTTTGTACCTAAGTGAATAATTTTGGAGCATCAAGATTGTTTTACAGTGACATTCACTTGAATGTTGTTTATGATGAAGAACTAGAAACAGCATAAATATCCAAAATAGTACACTGGTTAGATACATTCACATACTCACTTAGAATAATAGGCAGCCATTAAATGAGTTGTTCTGGAAGGATGGATAGTGATTGGGGAGAAAGGTGTGCAGTATAAGTTAGGAGAAAAGCAAGTTTGAAACACTGTATCATGTGATGCCATTTTTGAAGAAATGATTTTGTACATACAAATAGAACCATTTAAAGCTATGGATATATAGCAAGAGACTAATGGTTCTTTGCTCTAGGGAAGAATTGCAGGTACCTTTCTTCTTTATGCATTGTATCCTTCAGATTTGGTACAATAAATGTGTAACAGGTTTGCAATAAAAAGTTATTCAAAATTACCCAAACACAAAACTTCTACAGGTTATCATGAGTGTTCTGACTGGTGTCTTCTCTGTGACCAGCTGCCTCATAAGGTTAAAAACAATCTCCTGAAGGTCTGCGTGGGGTTCCATGGACGGGTGCAGATGATGGGGTTTTGGGAGATAAAGGCCACTGCCTAGTGCTGTTTAGTGGAAGATTTTTTTTTTAATAAAGCATTCTCTTATTTATAGACCAAACTAGTCTTGCACTCTTTTCCCACCTTAAAACACGACATTTTTTCTTAGCAATTTCATTTCAGGTTCAAACAAGAATTTGGTCTAGGAGGAGAGAGAAAGAAGGTGGGAACAGGGAGTACCAGCTTTCTGGCTGAAACACTAAGAACAAGTATAAAGAAATACTGCTTGATTCAAGAAGACTCTCCAATCTCTTTTAGTTGGCAGTATATCTGACAGCATCCCTCTTCCATGGTGTCTCCAATCAGTCACTTGCAGAAGAGTCCTTAGACAGAATCTCAAATCCTTCTTACTTTTCAGCTGTAGAAAAGAAAAGAGACACTGAGGAGACACTTACAGATGTGAGTGACTGGGATGGAGGCCGCCTCCCAGTAGCTTTTGGTCTGCTTGTAGTTGGATGACTAAGTTTCTCAGTAGATGATACCACGGAGTCAAAACCTTCTAGGTCTAAAACAAAAACAAAACACATTTTTAAGAACAAAAATAGGAGTGAGAAAAGGTTCTTACAATGTGTTACAAGTACTTCTTTTCCTTAACGATCACCCTTTCTGTCTGGATTATGTTCATTTATACCCTTGGGTCAAACAATATAGGCAATTCAAAGTGAATGAGATAATTATTTCCTTCCCAGATTAACATGCTACCAAGAAAGAGAGAGAAACATGACTTTTCGTTTTCCATTTAACAATTACATCCATAAATCTCTAAAAAGCTACACAAAGAAGATTAAAGAAGGAATCTTCTTTCTTTCACAAATCCAAGTCTGCCTTAGAAGACTGAACATTCTTGCAGTCTCAACACAAAAAGCAATTGTCACAAGGTCTAATAGCCATGGGCAAGAGAATATTGCTCGGCTGTTGATTCTAAAAGCTGGTGGCTCAGACCTGTAATCCTAGCTATATGGGAGGCTGAGATCAGGAGGACCAAAGCTGAGGCCAGTCTGGGCAAATAGTTTGCAAGACCCTCCACCTCCAAAATAACCAGAGAAAAAATGGACTGGACGTGTGGCTCAAGCAGTATAGCACCTGCTTTGCAAGCACAAAGTCCTGAGTTTAAATCCTGATCCCACCAAAGAGGGGGAAAAATCCAAGAGGGCTGTCTCCTCCTTTGCTCATACCACAATAATCTAGCCATCAACTGTTACCCTAATGTTAGACTAAACACCCTAGAGAAGGGGGCCACACTTTTCCACATAACTCACCCAGCCCAGACCTACTCTCATCCAATGGAGACATTATCTTCATTCATTCGCTCCACTGTTGTTGAGTGACTACTCTGTGTCACACAGAGCACTAGATACTGAGACTAAACCAGAAAACATAAAGGAATAAGCCCTGCCTCAGAGAGCTTACATCACAGCAACAGGTGCTCAGGGGAACGTGAAATCATTCATGTGTCTGACATGTGACCAAAGAAAGGCCTCTGTCTTTGCTTTGTCACCCTCCTCAATGAATGGTCAAGCCATGGGTTACTCACTTCTACAGAGTTCTGGGGACCAAGTGTGGATGGATGTAGGGTGCTCAAAGCAATGGCTGGCTGAGAGGGCCAACCCTGAGCACCATTACTGCTTCTGACAAGGGCAACATCACTTCCTTCTGATAAGTAAACAGTGTCTTAAATGCTGACAGGTGCTGCCTTCCCAAACCATTTCCATTCTCCCTTCTAACACATCCCCAGTTTTGTCTCAGGACAGTGTATCCAGTCCTCGGCTAAAGTTTGCCTGTGACTGGTTTACAGGAAGCTGTGTTTCCCAATTTGGGTCACTTAGAGCCTATGGGAAAGAGGTTTTCTTTCTGGTTGAGGGAGGTGCTGTCCCTCTTCTTTCCTGCTTTGGAAGCTATTGGGTAAAAATAGAATGTTTGGAGTTGTGGCAGCCAATTTAGGACCATGAAGAGAGTCATGGCAAAGGCTCTCAGAGAGCTTGAAGACGGAAGAACAGAGAAATAGAAAGAGCTTGGATGTCTGACAACCCCAGTGAGCTGCCCACCAATGCTGGAATGATCTACTACCTAGACTTCTTGCCATAAGAAATTAGCAAACCCCTGTTATTTCAGCCAGTTTTAATCAGATATTCTGTATTTATAACTGAAACCATCCTAATTGCCATAACTCAAAATATGCCAGTTCAGGACATAGAAGTTAAAAATAAATTATGGTTGGTCCTCCCTTATTTTGGGGAGAACACTTGGGTCGATGGTTATGAGTAGTGGTCTTGCTATGTGACAGCTTTATTCTATTAATGAACAGGCATGTGCTATCTGCAAATTATTCTATTTCCTTTAGTGGACTGTGGTGCTTGGTTTTGACTGAGCACAAGTCACTGGTCAGAAGAAACCACGAAATTATACCTTGGATTATGTTAAGTGCCATTATCCTAGCACATTGGTGAATGAGTAATTATTCAATTAATTCCTCTTATCAAGGCAAAGCAAATATAATCAAAGGTTAACCATCTGCAAAGATGGAACAAAGAGAGATATCAGTGAAGCTCTGAGGCCAAGCAGGAGCCAACCAGCATCTAGTACCTGAGGGAGCTCAAAATAGGCCTCGTCCGTTGGTTCAGCAGGGAGCCAGGAGGACCCAGGACTAGGGGAGGGCAAAGATTCCCACTGCTGGAATGTACCTCTCCAGTGCCGGCTTACTGGACTGGGCCCTCTCAGGGGCCATCACTTTAGAGAATCTTATTTTCCTAAAAGGTTCTCTTCCTGACTCTACCTCAGGACTCTATCAACTCCACTTTGTCTGGAATAGAAATTCCCCATTTGCATCAAGTTGAATTGATGTAAAAGTCACTATCTGACATTAACATCCCCTCAATCTTTGAAAATGAGCTTTTCTTTGATTACAAAAATAATACATATTCAATGCATTTTTAAAAATGTGAAATTGTAACAGAAAAAGAAAGTCAACTATAATTTTACCACATCTGGAAAACCAGTTAGTATTTCAGTATATTTTCCTCTAGGCTTTTAAAAAAGTAGAGCCAGGCACCAGTGGCTCATGCCTATAATCCTAGCTACTCAGGAGGCAGAGATCAGGAGAGATCACAGTTTGAAGTTAGCCCAGGCAAACAGTTCATGAGACCCTGTTTTGAAAAAAACCTTTCACAAAAAAAGGCTGGTGGAGTGACTCCAGGTGTAACCCCAGTACTGCCAAAAAAAAAAAAAAAGTAGATATTAGAGCTCACATTATATGTGATACTGTTTTCTGATTATTTCACTTAACACTATATGCCACATCTCTGAAACATTTTTGGGCGGTCCTGGGGTTTGAACTCAGGGCTTCATACTTGCTTAGGTAGGTGCTCTACCTCTTGAGCCATAGTCCCAGCCCTTTTCTGCTTTAGTTTTTTTTTTTTTTGCTTTAGTTTTTTTTCCCCTGGAATGACCTGGACGGCAACAGGCTTGTGCCACCACACCCAGATTATTGGCTGAGATGGGATCTCACTAACTTTTAGCTCTAGTGGCCTCAAACTGCTATCCTTTTGATCTCTGCCTCCCGAGTAGCTGGGAGGAGCATAGGTTACTCCCAGCCTCAAAACTCTTCATAAATATTTTGTATAATCATCAATGGCACTACAATTCATCTTTTATTTAGCCAATCCCCTTTTGGATAATAAGTCTCCAAATCATTCCCCCTCCTCTTATTTTTTTCTGCTATAGAAAGTGCTGCACAAAATCCTTGCACGCACTCTACATGCAATGAGTTTAGCAGGTTATCCATGCATATCCTCAACTGCTCTGGAAAAATGGAATAAGACCCAAGACAGGCTTGTTTGCTGGTGGGGGTGAGCTGGGTGGGGAGAGAAGGAGGCACAATGAAGGGCAGAGGAAGCCTGGGGAATAGGAGGGGACAGAAAGCTGAGGAGCAGATATTGAATGGCCAGCCAGCTAGGGGAGGAGGTGGAAGAGGAGACTTAAAAGCTCCAACAAACAGGCCTTGCCAAGAGCCTTGGCAGGGAGCTCCTGAGGCTGAGCTGGACACCTATATCCATATCCAGTCCAAGAAACTGCAGGCAAACTCTGAGCAGGGTATGATTAAAGAACAATTAAGGACTAATTAACTCTGGTTCTCCACCGTGACCGCACAGCAGACTCACCAGGACAATTAAAACAGAAAATGAAACCTCATCCCCTGACGCCACCCAGGGACTGGGTGCAGCCTGGGCATGGGCAGAGTCTGGGGTCTCGGGGGAAGGAAGAGGAAGGACTGGATCCAGTGGAAGAGCGAAGAACAGAGGCCTCTAGGTGAATGGTGGGGTGTTCTGGGCTGTTCCCACGGAGTTGTAGGGCCTGTGGGACAAGTTGTGGGGATACATCCCATCAGTGTGGTCAGTCTGCCAATGACAGGCTAGGAATGCTGGCCTGAACTGGGTGGCAACAGGGGCGCTGAAGCACTTGATTAAGGTGGAGGCCAAATGCTTGAGTGACTGGCGACAGGCCAATACAGCAGAGTGGGCCAGCCAAGCTTTTGGATTGACTCAGAGGCATGGTGTCTGTCACCTGCACTTAGGCTGAGAGTTTCAGGAGGGCAGGAACTTATCTTTGTGTGCTCAAAGTCTAGCACATTCCTGGGAAAAACAGGCTTGATATTCTGTCAAGCAAGGAAAGAACGAGCAAATCACTGAATAATCTCAAGGAAAAGCTCTTACTTCCTGGAGTGCAGCTTAGAGAGGTGGTTCCTAGTGGGACATGAGGTGGCAGTTGCAGGGCCAACGGCAGCATTGTGTGCCATGTTGGCAGAGGAAGCTTGGCTGGCCCACTCTGCTGTATTGGCCAAGGTTTGTACTCAAAAGACCTATGCACATTGGAGCCTGGCCACACTCAACAAGCATCTCCACGACAGATGGCAGAGAAGACTGCCTCATTCCTGTCACTCATGAGTTAAGAGGAGGGTCGGAGTCCCTCAGGGAAAACCACTCCTAGCCTCTTAATGTGCATTTAGCCAAGTTTAACTTTTTACAGTTTTAGATTGTAAAGAGTACTTTTTGGAAACAGTAACCAAACCAAACTGCCATAAAGAAAAAGACAGACCAAGGATGAGGTCACTTGCTGAAAAAGGAACCTCAGGTTACCCTGGTAGTTTTCCAGACTGAGAACTGAGACACACTTCTCAGTCTGAAGTGTGTCTCAGTTTCTGACAGTGGAGACAAACTCTTCAATACTGTCATGTAAGTTTTTAGTGGTTCAGAGCATGCTCCTCATGACTGTGGCCATGGTGACTATGACTGAGGAAAAACTTCCATGACTAACCCATTGTGGTACAAAGAAAATGGCCCAATTTTCATGGTGGTTTTAAAATGAATCAAGCTGAAACTTGATATAAGCTTTCTCAGTCTGGCTGGGAAGTGTTCCTAATAGAAAAAGGTTTTAATGTCCATAAGGTAGTAAAACTATTAAACTGGCAAAAGCTGTGCTGATTCTTTAAAGATTCATAAGGACGAGAGGCTCTTGGCTTTTGTGACAGTTGGAAGACAAGCACTCTGCAGACACAAGAATAATTCATGTTGGACGGGATGGAGTCAGCTTGGAAAGGGCCC